GAGAGAGAGAGAGAGAGAGAGAGTACTCGGAATACTCGAGTACTCTGTTTAAGCAATCGAATTAAGAGGGAGGTACGGAGATACGATAGCGCGAGTAGATAACGCGAGCGGACGGCACAGGACGCACAAAGGAGGCGAATTAGTCGGTATGACCTAAGGCGCCTAATTAACGCGTCGCGTTATCACGGTTCCTCCCTGTTCCTCTTTCCCGTGGTCCCGATGCGCCGGTGCTCTTCCTGCGCCGGAATTTCTTCAACGGCGCCGGCGGAAGGAGCGGAATACACCTGACTCACGCGTGACTCACAAAGCACGCACGCGGGGCCGGAACAAAGTGGCCGGTATTGTCGGGGAAAATTGCCTCTGCAATGTTCAGTAGCACGTCCCTTCTGTCTAGCATCCTTCATGCATATACCCTTCCATCTGATTCCTCGACGACGAGGACGGGAGGAAGGGGAGAGAGGGGGATATTCTCGTTCATTCTCGAGTTCTCAATTGCTTGCCGAGGAACATTATCTGATGATGTTGACATTCAAGTGCAACGAAAGAGGTCTCCGAGGTGGATGGTCGAAGAGTTTTTCTGGGCGCGGCGGACGATCGATCGAGGATCCTGTTGCGGATGCCAATTAATGTCAAATTGCAATGTTGACTGGGTTTTATCGACGCGAATGATTTTCGTGAACTTGTCGAAACTTATTACTAGCGAAATAAAGAGTAATACAGAATTATTATTAATAATAATGATATCAGTCGTCTTTCACTTGAGACGTTTTAAAATTTTGAACACACGTCTATCTTGAAGGAAAAAAATTTCAAGAAGGTTCAAAAATTTCAAGAAGAAGGTTCAAAATTTGCAAGAAGAAAACGATAATTTCAATATGATGTATTTTCCATTGTATTTTTTTCTGAAAGTCAATTCATGATCCCCGGACGTCCGTCCGATGTGAACCAATTTGTGTTACGTGAAGTTTCCGGCACAAGTCGTTTCGTGAAGAAATATCGGAGATAAATGTTACTTCCGCTCGGATGAAGCTCGAATGTGTTATTCTCTCGACGGTTCAGGATACGTAGAAGAGAAAGGTTAACCGCCTTTAATCTAAAATGCTGGACGTTCAAAGAGCATTACACGGCTATCGTTCGTCATGCTAGAAGAGCGAGGACGCTTGATGAAGCTTTTAAGAACCTTATTTCGAATTGATGTGCACGCGAATACGACTCATTCGGCAGGGTCCGTTTACGAGAGGCGACCCTACGAGTTCTACATGTCGTCACTCCTTACGCGATGGTAAATTGCCACTCTGACGACTCAGCAATAATTAACGTTTCGTGCCCTAACGTAACGCATTGCTCTTCTGTAATATAAATTGAGCGCGAAGAACAAAGACTGTCTGTGCTAAATAAAATTGCACGAAACTGCACATGTTTTTTTTTTTGAAATTTTAAAATTTTATCTTCAACGTCACATCAATAATATAATTAATGTCAGATGCATAAGCCTGACCAAAGGATTTTATATTTCTTAACGAGAGATCCTCGTGCCGACATCTGTGACGTTGCAATTCAAACTGGTACAGCGGACTATGTTACCTCCGAAAATGAAATGCACGTTGCAAACCCTCTGTTTCGAATTCAAGTCATGTAACGTTGTAGCTATCGCATATTTGCATAAATAAACTATGGAAAAATATGCTATTCGCCTTGAATATTTCTGGATATCATGAATTTATTATAACGGACCAGCACAGTGGATAATATCCATTTCGTCGATAACAAACGGATTATTTCCGATCGATTTCCGTCAATAAAAATTTGTTTTAAATATTCATTGAAGCATTAAGTAAAATCACGTGATTTTACTGACAAGAAAAATAAAAATGTATTTTTATAATAATAATATATTTCATCACCATTATGTTATAAACATGAGTATCATGCAAAATATTTCGAAACTACCGCTGAGTTTTGAATTTATGAGTTATCTTTATCACTTTAAAATTAAATTATTTTTGCCTAGAAATGTTGACTGGGCATTGAGCTTCAAGGTTTTTACATCAAACATCTTAGCAGTTAAACTTGTAAATATAGATTTTGTTAAAATAAAATTCATTTAAATCAATAAAATAACGATAATTCTGAGAGAAATTCCAATATATGTAATACATGGAAAAGATCCACGGTCCACGTGGCGCACATAAAAGATTTTCAGACTATTTACATGTATATACGATATGAATAGAAATTTTCTTGTAAAATATTCGAGCTATATATGTATATATTTACAATTACTTAGGTACTTCATGTATCGATATGACATATGTATATACAAACTACAAATCTTTATGTACATATAACAATTACATAGATCTGCGCGATTTTGCAATTTGAAAAACAAGAATAGAATTTCTTAAGAATAATTTTTTATGTGCTGAATCTGGATCCACAAATAAGGATATTTTGTCACATCAAGTTTAAAAAAAAAGTAGGATAGAAATTCGCTCTCCTTAAAAAAACGTTTTAAAATATTTTTAAAATTTCATAAAGTTTTAATTTTGCAAAATGCGATAAAGTCGATGCGATCTATAGAAAAAGAGCTCAAATTAATGCTTGAACATCATACTTTAATATGAAAATATATGAATTGGATCATTTATCGCAAGGTATTATTGCACCTCAGGCATATTTTGTTTTCAGAGGTCAGTTTTTAGACGCACATATCATAAAATGACGATTGGTCATTGTAGCCTACTGCCTTTTTGCACATAGTAAAAATTTCAATTAATTTACTACATAGGACTGAAGGTGTTTTTTATAATAAAAATGTTATTTTTATTCGTTTACAAGGTACAATTTTTTATTTGTATAAACAATTATTAATTAAATGATTTTTAAAAAGTAACACTTTTTTAAAAAACGAATTTTGTATGAAATATTTTATTGTATGAAAAAAAATATTATACGAATAAACTATCAAACCGCTATTGAAATTTTTATTATTTACAATTGTTTCGCACATGTGAAACTGGGGACTGCATGGGGCAATCGCTCTACTTGATACTGTACGCCCACCCTTGAAAATAAAACGCCCAGAGATTCGATGCCATTCGATGCCAGACGTTCGATACTAATGGTAAAAGATTAAATATTTTCATATTAATGTTTAAACATTAATTTGAGCTCTTTTCGAAATCTCTCGCTCTTTTCGCAATCTCACATTTATTAATTTTTTTCAAAAATAATTAAAAACATGTTTTGGGATGTTTCTACCACATATTTTTCTTAAAAATTTTTTGCGGATTTAAATTTGGCGGACAAAAAACTATGAGAAAACTATAAGAAATTGTTCTTCTTTTCCAAACTGCAAAAAAAAATAAAATTTTTAGCAGAGTTATTAGAGAATTAGAAAATATCATTTGCGTATTAGCTAATTCATAAAATATATTAAGTACACAACAAGGAATGTTTAAAACTTGAACGCGGTATACATGTTCGAGATTGCTTCTTATCGTTACATAATAATAAAAGATAAATATTCTTCATTTAAAATATCATGCAGAATACATCTGATAATCAAAGGATACACAAATGCTGCAAAACTTTATAATCAGTAGAGAATCTATGTAATCAATAGAATGAAAATAGAATGAAAATTTTGAACCTTTCTCCTTTTTCTCTTCAACGATATTTCGCTTCAGTAGTCACATTTACTAGGAATTGTATACAAGTTTCGGTATACAATTATTTAACGCATGATCTGTCGCGGTATGAAACTTTGTCACTGTGCTATCCTCCATTGGACCCACTTGCTAACTTCTCTGGCAAACATTTTGTAATCGTCGGTTCGATTAGTTTCCACACCTCAGCCAACTATAAACAAACGTTTGCATCAGCAATTTCCATTCGTTTGCAAATCCGATGATGTATGCGTGTGTACTCTAGCATTAAAGATATTTGCTCGATATATACGCCTAGTAGTATTGCAGGTATAAAGGGAAAATAAAGAAAAAAAATTTCTCGTATTCAAATCTCGAGGAATAATGTGCAATGACTCACCGAGACCTCTTCGGTTTGTTTGCAAAATGAATGTATTCATTAATAATATGTTCATTAAATAATGTAATTTGAATTATTGATTGTCGATCATATATTTACCTCGGAATGTCCGCGAACTTGCACGCTCACGAGACTCTGTAGAACGGTGGCGAGTATCTCTAGGTGCGCGTGAACGAGTTGTGTCTCCATGTGCAAGCAAAGCAACGAGAAGCAGTTCCTCAGCTCGACGTTGGCAATCACGGACTCCTGGGAGACCATCTTGTTCTCGAGATATTCGACAGTGTCGGCCTGGACATACGATAAGATCGCGTGTACTCTTCTCGAAATGAACGTACGCCGCGTTGACGTATTCGTCAACTATGACGGATTGCGTAAGGTCACAGGAAGTTACGTTTACTCTTTTATAAGAGAATCTTCGCGATTTCTCAGGTTGTGCTACTGCAAACTACCGGCGAGTAATTATACAACATGATTGTCGATTATAATCTGCGCGGAAATTACCAGCTAATAAATTTTAAGTGAGCACGTACATCAGTACCGCGAATAACGCCTTGCATCTGCCGCTTCTTGAGAGACAGCATCGTCGACAGGGCGCGTTGATGATCGGCGCTGACACCTCGTTCGTGTCTCTCGCACAACATTCTGTGCGCGACTAAAATATCGAGTAGAAGATTCAGCCTTTCGCAAACCGTAGTCTCCTCTCTGACCGCTTGTTGGAGCGCTCTAGTCGATAGCAGGTTAAATTCTCTAAAATGTTTAGGTCCATTTATTTCATATCTTATCTCGTTTAAGCGCAAAGCGATCGCGAGAGATTAAATTCCTCTAAAGTATAAAAAACGAAAATAAAGGGGAGGATTGTATCGTATAGCACGCAACGATAACGTAAAAAATTTCAAGTATTTTCGTGTTATCAATACTCTTCTTAAAATGAAAAAAAATAACGATTACATCACACAAGGACAAGTATCGTAAAATCTCAAGAGCTTTCCTTATCGATATCGGATTCTTACTTCGAGATTACGTGAAAGCCTTTTTTCATATCTTGCCAAAGACTAGAACCTCCGGTGATCCAGGTACCGGTGCCGTGCTGTTCCGCAGCCAAAGTGCTCAACTGATTGCCAAGCTCGGCCATGTCCACCGCATAATTATGCGATCTGATTGCCAAGCTGTCGGCGATGTGCTTCAGTCGGGAGATCCCGAGGAGTATCACTCGTATCTGATCGCGACTGTTCGCAAATTCGGTCAGCGTCTCTGGTGGCATCAGCTCCTTCGCCCTTGACGACAGCTCGGACGTGGCGAATTCGTCAGGCACACGCCTGAACACTTCGCGGATCTTGTGTTGCGTCTCGTCGCCGGTGTACGTGAAGAAGAACTGGACGATCGGATCGTCGCTGACCACTGGGTGACGAGCGATCAACGTGAGAAACCGTAGGAGAGAACGTCGCCTCTCTTCGAGAAATTGTGAATCCGCTGCAACGGGAAATAAAGAAATGTATTTCCTAAGAATATTTTCCATAATATATTATAAAACTGTAATAATATACTATACGATAAATAATAAATATACGATTGTTTACATATTCCTATAATTAACTGTAAAACTGTAAAACTATATAATTTTTTGTGCTTGTGTTAACAATTATATGTGTGCGCGTGTGTGTATGTGTGTATTTACCTCCTACGATTTTTTTTGGTGGTAACTTGGGAATCAATCTATAAGGAAACCGAGCCAGAAGTAGATCATATAATGACACAAAGTCATTGTAACGCCTGTAGACCACAGAATTGAACCTCTAGAAACATAAAATTTATCCGTGTAAGCTTACGTTTTCCGTTATGATGTATAAGAGAATCCGGACAACGTAGTTTTATTAAAGCAATCTGAATAATAATATCATTTTGTTGTACGTGGACAGAACTCGGATAATACCTTGCTGGTGATTTGATACTCCACATGCTTCAAAAAGATGCCCTTCTTCTCGGGAACAAGATTGACCTCAATAGTGTCCAGATTACAGATGTCCGAGTAGGTGTGACTCAACTTTGCGGGATTGCCTCGATGTAGCCTCTGCGCCAGAAGCGTCACTTCCGACAGATCTCCCAGAGCGGGGACGGGTAATTCTGCGAATAAGAAGATCCTCTCGAGTGAAGGATGCATTTTCTGATAATTGCCGGCTGGTCGTATTTAATAAAGATGACAGTTGTATGATTACTTAGTAGCAATAAAATTTGATTGATATATATTAAGTTTAACGAATTAAATTCTTCTCGAGTACTGCGGGATGGGAATACTGCAAGTGTTTCTTGGCTTTGAGAACACGCCCCCTTGAACTTGAATATCGTCATATATTTTTTAGATCTTTGTAATATTAAAAATCTATTTTTATTTTACATATTTATCATTTAAGCGAAATTTATTCAAAGTGATTCAACGAAACAAAAGTTTAATATATGAAATAGATTAAAAATAATACTCTTTCAAGAATATTTTTATCAATATTTTGGTTTATCTCGTTTTGATTATCTTTGCCTCTTCTTTTTAAATATTACAAGTGTGCTAATGTTTGCCATTATTCCTGCCTTTGTGTTGTGTGTGAATAGATATAATCAGTATTAAAGCTGATAATTCAACAACTCCTTCGACCTCGATATCATCGAGTAAAATCCGTTCTTTTCGCAGTGCCGTTACTACCTTAACAGATAAAAACGAAATTGTGGTAATGAATCTGACAATCATCCAAGAGAAAAAGAAGATAACTGTGTCTTCTCTTTCTGTATTTTTCTCGACGTTCTACTTCGTCTATCTCAGTCCGAGGTGAGCGAGATCTCGCGGTATTGTAATTCCTATGAGACGTGGCAAATAATCTTCGTCATTGCAACCTCGATAACGAAGGAGTCTTCTGACCTCAGCTAATACTTAGCTACGTACAACTACGCTTGTTATGTTCCCACAGTTTTACCATTCACCACTCGACTTTCATAAAGCCGCCTTCACTTCTTGCATTTGTAATTCAACATTGTGTGGGATTAACTAACGCGGATGGGATACGATATGCAGGGAATCGCGTCACTGTTGAAAAAAAAAAAAACGAAAGAAACGTAAAGCGTGAGCTTTCACTAATGATACGACACGACTTGCTCGGACTCCAGCCATTCAGTGTATGTCTTTTTTCGCGCCCCCGTTTAGTCATGCCAGGACCACCAATGTCCCCACACTCAGGGGTATCAATGTTCCCATAATTGTATAACAAGAGTGATCATATTGTGCGATTTCAAAACAAGGACAGGTCATAAATGATTATTTTCGCACTAAGCTAAATTTTCATTTCGTCGTGCGAAAAAATGTAAAAATCTCTGGAAAGAGATTGTGTACGCGTAATCTCAACAAAATATAATTCATAATAAACACCAATTTTTATGAAACAATTCTTTTTACAGATGAAAGAGGAATCTAAGCGAGAGATAATCTAATAACTTATTCATATGATGAAACGTATGAAATAATGTAGTTATAATTTAAAGAATTCGTTTTGTTATTATCAAATGAAAAATACGTTACGCAGCACAGTGATCCACACACGTAATTTTAATGAAAAGTTGCAGTACGTTTTCTCGAGTTGCGACAGTACGAAACTTTCTAACGATAAGCAAAACGGTAATGATTTTGCTGGTCAATGACTCCGGTAAACGCCTACTGGTCTCTTGATATGCCACTAAAGCACGTTCGCGCATTATCTAAACACCTGTCCGATAATAGACTTATTCAAGACCTACTTTCATCGCAGTCTATATACGGATTGTGTTAACGGCACGGAAGACTGTCTGTATGTATATGGCTTCTCTTGTTTGCGAAGCAAATTACTTAAGCTATAAAAGAGGTACCGTAAGAGAATCGCTGCAAAAAAAATCCAAGGCAAGTTCAACACGAATATTTAATTCTTATCCACACACGAGATGTTCGCTACTCGCGATTTTTTCCACCGCAATTATCGTCTATTTGTGTTTATTATCCAAAAACATAACGAAAGTAACCAAGTTTTATCTTATTTATAAAAATGTAAAAAATAGTTTTTTATCAAAACGTATTCTTAAAAATAAAATTTTTATACTTAATCTTGTAATAAAATATTATATATATAAAATATTATATTCTCATATAAAAAAGTAGAAAAAATAAAAACTAAAAAAATAAATAAATATAATAAATATTCTCATCCATACAACCTGTCATCGAATGAAATAGTATATCTACCGAGTTGAAAATTTTTTTGTTCCTCTGGAGATACGTAGGCGACATATATTATGTATAACATTTTATGTAACAAATTAGAATAATTTAAGTTTAATTATAATTTGTTAATTTAAATTTGACTAACCTTGGGATTCGGAGATTTCCAGCAGTTTGTCGCTCGGTTGCTTTCCTTGCTGAGCAAAGGCGACAAGAGCGAGACCCTTGTAAAGTCCGCTTCTCGTAAGATAACCCGTCTTGCTGTCTACTAGCTTCCATATCTAAGGAAAGATAAATGAAGAATTTTTTAAAGGATCGTTTCTAGCACATCCTAATGCTATAGATATCGCGAAATCAAAACTAATGAATTAATTTTAATAATTTGATCTGAAAATAAAGCAATTATTGGAAATATGATTCCTTTAGAAATCACAAGTAATCACATACACACACACACACACACACACACACACACACACACACACACACACACACACACACACACACACACACACACACACACACACACACATGCATATATATATATATATCAATAAAAAAAGAAGATACTTGAAAAAACGTTACGCAATAAAATTATACACGCTGCACCTTGTGCCCGAGTAACGGGCAGCGCGGCGGTGAATTCTCTGTGAGAGAAGCCTAAGGATTAGGCCATAAATGAAAGTAACTGCATTCCGGGGATTTTTCTACCTTGCCGCACCATTCCACCTCTACTTCCATCCTCACTCGCATCTCACCTTCTCGCTATTTCCCCGTATTGCTTCTTCTCTCCTTATCATCGCGTTTCTTCCCTCATCCTCCTGCTCAAAGAAACCACTGAGCGGAAGACGTGAGTGCACGCGGACTCACACTGAATACAAAAGTGCATCCAGAAGCTTAAATGTAGAGGAAGAAAAAGACCTACTACTCCTCTTTCTTCCCTTTATAATTTGATTATTATACAATTTATGGACATACGTGCGCATAAAAATTAAATTTTATGTCTCTGTAATCATATCATCTTTCTTTATCTTTAGAAAGATGTAATTATACATATTTCTAATAATAAATTTAAATTGATGTAAATATGCGTGACTTTATTTGAGCTTTGAACGAGAGATACACTTATAGCGAAATGATTGATGCTTTGTAGAAGAAAAAAAAGATATGAGTATGGAAAGTGCGGTTGAAAAGAGTAGGCCGCCGACTACGCCATTGCGGGCACCCTCGCTTTCTCATTGCTCTCTCGAGCATTGTTAAACCTTAATCGCCGATCAAGTTCAAGCCAGGAGGAAAACTTGAAACAATACTAGATTCCTCATTCTGGTTACGTATGCGAATCACGAGTAAACAACGAGAATCGACGAGCCATTTTGCATCGGGCGGGCATGTCTCTTCTTCTTGCACGCACGAGTGCGTGTTTTGTTCGTCGGAAGAATATGATAAAGCTCGTAAATAATGAGGAATAAATGAGGAAGAGATCGAGATGGAGACATCGGCGAGAAGAGGTGGAGGAGATGCTTACAGAAAGAATTTTTCGCAAAAAAGAATATATATTCATGAAGCGAGCCGAACGAAAAAAAGCGAGAAAACGAAGAAAGAGTCTCGTCTATTTGACGTAACGTGCACGCCGGTATGCGAAATGTACGCAAATTAGTTTTAATGCGCCGTCTAAACAGGTTTATGATGGCGAAGAGAGCGATATCGCGTCGAGAGAGCGCCTTATCTCATGTGCGAGACATTATGTTTCGCGCTTTGGAACACGCGTGAGTATAAGCGCGAGAATGATCTTATCGTTATTAATCGCAATACGATAAGATCCGAAAATAGAGGAAAAAAAATAACAGCGCCCGTACAATATCGAGCGAATATCTTTGCGCGATCACCTCGGAGGGGGGAGGGGAGGATTGCGTAACTCGTTACCTCGTTACAAGTCCGCGAATCATTCGTGGGTTGTATCTAATCAGCGTCGATTAATGTCATTGACACACAACGTAACGAAATCGCTTACGCCGATTTCGAGGAGTACCACGCGCGTATTCGCGCGAAGGATATTTTTAGACGAGGGAGAGACGAGGGCGAAACACTAGCGAGAACGTGGGAGTGGGCTGACATTCGCTACAGTCGATACAGTTCGATGCAACATCGCGCAACGGGTACAGAAGCGGATGTGACGTTCGGTGTGAGGACGCACGTGAACGCCAGGCCCCGCCTGTGTAACGAGAGCCCGCGTGTGTGCCCGGCTCGTCACGCAACGTCTCTAAGCGAGATAATTATGCCCCTGAATCGGCCGATGCAACTCATTATCATCTCCCATTTGCGAGCCCGAGGCGTGTAATCTGAAAAGACGATGCTCAAACATCCCGTCGCGAGTTGTAACACGACGGCGACACAATCGAAGCCACACATGTCGCGCCTCGTTTTAGAGACGTTTACTCTCGCGGTGCTGCTCGACGTGGAAGAGACAATTATTTTACGATTGAACGATCGTTCAGCTGTTAACGATCAATCGCACGAATTACTTCGAGGATGACCGCCGAGAAAAGTGGGAAATGTATTCGCGTCGAAATAACGCGTGTTTTTGAATTTTTCGATATAAAAGTACCGCACACATTGCGTGCCAATGCGGAAGATGGCAATCAAATGATTTCACCTAGCAGGAAGACGACTCGCGTACCAGCTGCTGTTTTGAACGTTGGAAATGGATATTAAAGTATGCCTGCGGAAGTATCGGGCGTATTTTAATCTATCGCACTTAATTGAGAGGCAGCGTAAAATTATATAGTTTCAGAGTAAATCAGCTTCGCAAAAGAGTTTGAAACGAGATACGACTTTATCATGTTTTCTTCCTTTTGCTTCTCTTTTTTTTCATATATATATATATATATATATATAAAGAAATGGAGTGCAGACTAATCTGACAAGTTTTGCACAAACTCTGCAATAGTAGTAAAAAAAATTAAAACAAAATTTTTATTTAAATTATTACGGAAAAAAATTCGTCTATATGTTTTACTATAACTGTATTTAATTTTAATTTTAATGACGGATTGTTTCTTTATAAATTTATAAATCTTGAGACACCTTATAGCTGAAAGGATTGCTATTCTACTCGCAACACCTCGGCGCGGCCCTGCGTAATGCTATTTTGATTGTGTTGTTAGCACAATGAACGAGAGACGGACACGGCGAATGACGTCGCGATGCGACGTGACATTTCTGGGCAGAATCGCATTAACTTTTTCGCGAAATTTTTGCAAAACTGATTTCCAATTTGCGCTATCAAGTTTCTCAAAGCTATCGTACATACCTAAAAATATTAACCAGTTAACATTTCAATAAAAACTCATGAAATTTTAATTCGATGAAATTTTACATAATCTACATCCAGAAATGTAAATATGTAAACTCCAAGAAAATACAAGCGGAAACTAAACTCATATTTCTTTACGCAGTTCCGAGCGAATTACGCTAACGGAAGTTAAAGTCGGACTTAATTTGTTAAGATTACTTAATGCTAGCGGACGTTGGCATTTCGCATGAGGCCAGTCCAAGTTCACTTCATCTTATATTCGTCGAGAAATTTGTCGCCGAGAAATGTTTTATGCAATAGAAATCGCATGCATATTTTGATTTTGCGCCGTCAAAGTCAGTATTTTTCCGAGGATTAATGCTATTCAGGCGCGATAAGACCCAGGAACTTTCCGCAAAATCGCGCGTGAATTCTGAGCGTGCGATGGAATAAACGTGTATAATAAATAAAAGGTGAGTAGACCAATCGCAAACATGCTGGAACGCGTTTATGACGTCGTTCAGCATAGCAGACTGCACATGACGGTACGGTTGACCCTGCCACGTAATCTTGCATCATTATGAAGGGGCGTTCATGCGCGTTATCATCGCCGGGCGTGCTGTTAAAGATGATAAGGTGCCATTGATACAGGCGCCTGGAATATTTTAATCATTTTTACGAAAACATTTGCCGCGCGTAATTGACGACTTTCGCAGGAGTGAATGGCGAACGGGCCGAACGAAAAAGCAGGGACAGGAATGAACCCGAACTGCAAGCGAGATAACGACGTGGATGGTACCGGCGCAACCGGTTCGCGTCATCGGAATGGAATTACGTAATGTGGAAGTTAGAGAATAACTGCCTGAAAAATACTTCTTTCGCTCGCGTTTCGTCATATTTCCGTCTCCTCAATTCTGCTTCGGATTTGAAGAAATATTACCGAGCGGGGTAATTATTGAATAAAACTAGATAGCACGATGCTTAAGACGATGATGAAATCGCAAATGACGATAACATTACGAAGCACGATACGAATATGAGTAATGACTTATAAGGAAAAGCGTTTAGAAAAAAGTCTCTCGGTTCGCTGCAATTTCTCATTCGCGCTTCTCGTTCAGCGACGCGAAGTCAGATTTAATCATATGTATACGCACGCGCTAAAATAAAAATACCAATAATATCGGTAATAGTTGGAAATAGCAATTTGCTCATCTTAATCTTAAATGACACGCGCAGAGCCGTGAAGATTTTCCTCGATGGAGTAAGCGCGTCGCATTAAACAATCGAAATGATCGGTAACACGAGAAGCGAGTTCGTCATAGATCCAGCAAATTATCCTGTCAGTCGCAATGAGGTCCACGCGTTCCTAGACGTGACGAGTTTCTCCGCGACGTAAATCGCGAGAAGGAAAACGTTAAGCGCCTTAACGGGATTTAACCGATTATGGGGAAGAGAGGGGGGAGGGAGAGAGGAATCATTATAAGGCTGAAATTAAATCCTTTCCGACGCTCGAATAAATGACAATCGCTCGCGCGAATTTCTTCACTCCTGATATTCAAAGGTATTCAAAGTTGACGCAAGCATCGCTCTTAATACAAAATTGTGACATGAATGACGTTTTTCCTTCTTTACGATTCCTTGATTATATTATCTGACACATTCACGATGTACCATCGTGCTCACGGAACTGTGACGCATGTATTTATAATTAAATTGCTTGGTTATTATTTCAGATAGAAAGTCGAATAAGGATGACCGGATTATTAAATTTTCATGTTCGTCGCGCACTAATTTCAGGAGCGGTGAAAAGTCGCCAGAGAAAATCTTCATCATACAAGAACGAGCAATAATTATCTGATCGTTTGCGGTGAGCAGTCAGTTATTTCGATACCCCTGGTTTAATTCAAAATAAAATATATAAAATTAATCAATTAAGACTATTCGCTTATTTAATACGGAGATCGAAAATCAGTTATCCTGGTAACTTCTGGTTAAAGAATTACAATATAATCTCAGTCTAACTTAACTAATTATAACTGTTCGTTTACTCGAGTGATAATCGAGATCGATAAAGGTCACGTAACAAAGTACAAAAACTGGATCATCGCGATATCTACTCGATATGTACAAAGTATGAATTTGAATACATGCGAATGTTTCATGTGCGATCGCAAACATAACACAAATAAATTCCTCTTGGGAAAGATCGGGCGGTATGCTAGAAATTGAAACCCGTAAGAGTACCGTCCGTTCAAACTCGCTATCGGATTTACTCCACGGCGTAATGTATTTCTTTGTAGCAGTCCGACGGAACGCCTGCTTCCGTTCTTACTCAGCCCCCTCTTCTTCATTTATTTCTTGATGGATTCGCAAGATGAGAAAATAAATAAGATCTTCGCCCGCAATCAGTAAAGGGGGCATTGCCTTGTGCGAACCTCTCGAAAGCGAAATTGATCAATTCCATAAAATAAGAAGAAGAGAAAACCAATGAAATTACGAATTAAAATCGTGTGCTCCGGTAGTAAATTGTTAAGAAATTTATAGAAAATAGAGTTGATCACAATTCGATTCTGAATATCGATCATACAATTTTTTTTCTAAGACGGAAATGTGAAAAATAAAATTTTTTTCCATTATCTTCAATATTAAAAAATTTTCATTTTTCACGTTTTCGCTTTAGGAAAAAAGTTACACGTTAATATTCAAAATTTGAATTGTGATCAACTTTATTTCTTATAAATTTCTTAATTTTAATACCAAAGTACTTACACATTTGTCTATACTTCAAGTAATTATTTATTCATTGTTGTAATTAAAATTACTACGATTTCAACTGAGTGCAGTTTATTGGACCATTCAAATCGTATTTGGATTACACTTTAACATCTCTTCACTCACCGGAAGTGTTATCAGTGAAGAAACTTCCTCTATACGATTTCGTGTATTAAAAATAACCCTCAACAAAAAAAAATAAAAGATAAGATAAATAAGGAGACGAGAGACGATAGAAAATGGAATATACAAAACCAAGATAATCTGGATCGTACCTGATTGACGACGGAACCGCTTAGCTGCGACTTGACGAGGAGGGATCTGAATACCTCGAGCTTCACGTTTCCGCTGGTGGGTGAGCAGACCTTCTCGTAGACTTCTCTGTAGAACGCCGGTATAGAGCCTGGGATTCGTGCAGGAGAGAAACACGTGAGAAACAGAGAAAGAGAAAGAAGGAGACAGGTCTCCTCGACGGCTATAACGAGGCCTTCGAGAGCGGCGTCCGCTCGCTCTATTCGCGACCGCTCTCGTCGGTCGCGCGTGACGAAACGCAAAGTAGGTACGTGCACGCGTTTCGTATCGTCCCGCGAACGAGCGTGCTTTTGTTAAAGGGAGTGACTTTCTCCACGTTTCTTGCGAGAAACCGTTCCTCGCGGAAATGCAGCTACGCTGAACTTTTTTCCCTACTAGCTACGTTCGCTGTCCCAAATTTGTCTACGTGTAATATGCTATAATGTGAAACTATGTCAGTAAAACCTTTGGCATATGATTCACGTGGAATTGTTTTCGAAGTGCTAATTTATCATGAATCGATCTACGTAATTGGTTAAATCAGTCAAGTTGAGTCTTTGAGACTGAATGATATTCGTAAATTAAATTTTAAGTAATATGCTGTTCAGGCAATTTTTGATTGATTCTTCAATAATTTTAATTCTTCGGTAAGACTCCAGGAAGAATAAATAAAATTTCAAGGTGAAGCAATTACGAAACATTTCGGGTTATTAGCTCGTATTAACGTAGACATGCGAAAATCGAATCTCAGTTTCTCTTTAACGCCAGCAAGTTTCGATATTTCAATCCTGCGATTTAATCGATTCGCGTTTGCGGAAAGCATATCGAAATCACTTCATTAAAATCGATGAATCCACCCTTGTTTCGCAAATTTATTAACGTTACGAAAATCAGATGGACTCAAGCGCACGCAACCGTTGTTACCGTTATCATCATCGGGCAGCATCGGCCGCGTGTACGCGATTATATCGCGGATGTCAAGGTGTCCTAAAGATCAGCTGATTATCTGACGAGCGCATCCCGGACGGCGAACTTCGGAGTGGGAAAAAGGAGAGAGAGAGAGAGAGAGAGAGAGAGAGAGAGAGAGAGAGAGAGGGAAAGAGGGGAAGGAAGCTTCATCTCTCGAGACTCGTTCTCGGCGAGCGGAAAGCAAACAAGAGACGTCCGCCCGATTTGTCCCGTATTTTCATTGCGCTCGCATTGATAAGAAGATCGGGACATCCGGGGAGAAGAGACAGAGAGAAGGGAGCGACCGCGTTTTTGCGAGCCAACGACGACGCGACGCAGCGCGACGCGACGACAATCGACCGACGAGAAAACCGGTTGACCTCGTGAGGGACCTTGTCATGGAGGTTGTTACGGGGCTCTCGGAGAAGCTCATCATTTACCGAACGACAGATCGGTCGACGCCATGTTGGATCATCCGTGGATCATCCGTAGATCATCCGTGCTGGACCCGTGCGGTGAATGAAGAAGAGAAAAAGAGAGAGAGAGAAAAAGACAGAGTCAATCGTCGTCGACAAGCATCGATAGTTGGTGGTATCACGACGATCGCACGAAGAACACTTCAAGAATTCGGTACTCCGATCTCGCTGCCGGACCGCGCGCACTCGCGGCACTTCGCGAGCGTACGGCGTTACGACACGTCAACAATAAGGATGACAACGTGACGAGAAACGCTAACCCACTACACGCTGTCGCCACACGGCGGAAGACTGACAACGGGATACCGCCGATCCTCGTGTTCGTGCTCGTGCGATCGCGGCGTCTCGCCGCGGTATCCGCGCGAAGCGACGAACGGAGCCGGATGGAAGCGTGTCGTGGTGTTTACATCGAAATCAGAATCAAGAGATCAAGAGAGAAAGAGAGAGAGAGAGAGAGAGAGAGAGAGAGAGAGAGAAT